TTTGTGACACAGTTAATCATAAATTAGTCTAATTTTTTGGTACTTATAGGAAGATATAAATAAATAAAAAGAAAAATGAAAAAAAAACCGCATTCACAAACATCTCTGCATAATTTTTATTTTCACTGGGATGATAACTTTTTTTTCTCTAATTGCAGATCGCTTAGAAGTCAATTTTTTGTTATATTAGTATTTTTTTATGTAAAACTATAATTTTACAAAATCAAAATAAAGGACGTAAAACGTGTAAATTTCATACTAATCATGAATTTATAAAGAATGTGGCGCCAAATATATTAATTAATAAACCAAATATTAGAAAATCATGAACTTAAAAGAACTATAAAATGAAGTCATTTGTCCTGTTTGACGAATAGTTGATTGTATTAGCGGATAACATATTAGATTGTAATAGTTTGTTTTCTCGTAATTTTTTTTTTTACAATCTACCAACTAAATTGTATTTTTTTTAATTTCATCGCAGAAAATTTTAAATTTTACAAGTTGACTATGTAAGTAAATGAAATTAACAATTCAACTCATGAAATTTAAAATCGTAAAATATCACAAAGTTCTTTTAAGTCAATAAACGTCGTGTTATGAATTTTGCTTCAAAACTAATTTAGGACTTTTGAAATTCATAATAATACAAAGTTTTATTTGATTAGTGGTCTCTCAGTTATTTTATTTTTCAATTTTTTTGGTACAAAGTTTTAAAGTTGACTATTTCACTTGTCAAATTACATGAAATTGACAAATCAACTTATAAAATTTAATATAAAACTTTAGAGTGATTGAGAAAAATGTTTAAAGCTCAATTAATGATATAGTTTGAAGCAAACTTTAAAATTACTTTAGATTAATTGAAGTTACTTCAGACCAACAAAATAAAGGGAAATGTTACGATGCTATGATGGAACCATTCCGTTAGGGTTTTTAATCATTAGATTATCATGTAACCGTCAGAGATAGTTGATCTAACAGTTGCAAATCTGACGGAATAGTTCTGTAATGTGTCCGTAACATCTCTCCAAAATAAATATGACATACAAAACAATTTTAATTAATTGATTGTTTTTTTTTTTTTTTT